CACAACCTTCCAGCAGTTAAGTTCATAGTAAGAACTATTGTTGGTACCTAGATGCTTGATGGCTTTTAAGATTTCCTCTAGTTGGACTATTTATTGCATCTGAGGAGGAGGTTAAAGTCAAAGATGCATGTGATATTATCTAAATGAAGACACACGTTTTGCTATAGAAACAGGCTGTGCTTGCCGTATCCAACCACGTCCCCAATAAACTCACCCGATGCCACAGTGGCCGTTCTAGCCTCAACCTGCATCCTTCTAGGAATAGCGACTCCAAAAGACATTTCCATTTTCTCTCTAGAACTCAGCATTTCATGGCCAGGAACCATGTGAAACCATGCCCCTCCTTGGCCTATTGAGCTCTCCTTGGCCTATTGAGCTCTCCTTGGCCTATTGAGCTCTCCTTACCCATGGTTTCTGGCCAGACCACCTGTCACCCAGCAATCTTCACCACCCACAATGAGCTCAGTCGCTCAAGGTCCAGGCACGTTTCCATTTTGCCTGTCCATCCTGCACCAGAGATTCTGAGTTCCCAGTCTCTGGCCTCCTGCAGGGCAGGGGTCCCGGGGCCATCCCCGAGCCCGGGCAGGAATGCATATCTGGAGGCTACTAGGTCGGGTCTGCTGGGGCAGCAAGCCAACAGCACTAAGCAAGTGCCCTCTTGCTCACTCTTGCGACACCCACCTTCCTACTCATTCTTCCGGTAAAAGCTTTGTGCTGGCTGTTCCCACTGTCCGGAACACTCTTACCCCAGACCCTCACATGGCTCATTTCCTGTTATTCAGCTCTCAGCTCAAGGCCGCATCCTCTGGGAGCCTCCTACAGTCACCCAGTCACTCTATCATATCCCCTCATGCTATATTGGGAGGAGTTCCTCCATTTTTTAACAGCATTACTGAGGTATAATTGACATGCAATAAACTATACATATTTAAAATACAATTTGATAAGTTTTCACATATGTACACACCCATGAGACCTTCATCCCAATCAAGATAGTGAACTTGCATCCATCACCCCCAGAAGTTTTCTCCTGTCCCTCTCTAGCCCTGCTTCCCACCCCCAGGCAACGCTGATCTGCTCCTGTCACTGTAGATGCGTTTGCATTTTCTAGAGTTTTATATAAATGGAATCCTACAGGATGCGCTCTTTCTCAGTCTGACTCCTTCCATTCGGCATGATTATTTTGAGATTCATCGAAATTGTTGCATGCGTCAGCAGTTCGTTCCTTCTTCTTGCTGAGTAGTATTTCATCGCGTGAATGCACCACAACTGGTCTATTCATTCAGCCACTGATGGACACTTGGGTTGTTTCCAGTTTGCAGCCATAATAAATAAAGCTGCCATGAACATCCATGGACACTTCTTTACACGGACATATGCTTTCTTCCCCTTGGGTAAACACCTAGGAGTAGAAGGGCTGGCTCATGTGCTAGTTAACTACAATTAACTTTTTAAGAAGCTACAATGTATTTTCCAATTGTACATTCCCACCAGCAGAGCTTGCAAGTTCCAATTCCTCCATATCTTGGTCAGTTGTTTTAAGCAGCCATTCTGATAGGTATGCAGAAGTATCTTACTGTGGTTTGAGTTTGCATTTCCCTAATGACTAATGATGTTGAGTATATTTTCATTTTTTGTCATTCATATGTCTTCTTTGGTGACTGTTCCTTTATGTTATTTTATTTATGGTAATTATCAATGTAATTACTTGCTTGTATATTATAAGCTCCAGGAGGGCTGGGACAGGGTCTACGTGCCCCTGTATCCCCTACACCTAGAATAGTGCCTGGTACCTGATGGGCAGATGCTCAATAAACACTTTAAAAAGTGAATGAATGGGTCTGAATTCTGGCCCCTGCTCTGCCTGACTCTATGTAACCCTGAACAAGTTCTCTGGCCTCAGTTTCCCAGCCTGTAAGTGGGGCAGGGGTATTGAACTCAAAGACCTTGAGGGCCCCCCAGCTCTGACAGGGTCTGGGTTTGAGGCACACCTACTCTTGGCTACCCTGGGTTTTCCCTCACCCTGAACTCCAACCTTTGTAGACTGGGCCGTGGCTCCCCAGATAACCTTTGGCTGTATTGACAGCAAGGGGAGTGCCACGTCTTCTGGCTCTGGGAGCCTGGACCCCATCACCCACCCTGCAGAATCTATTCACCCTGAGGCCCCAGACCTGCTGCCATGGCCCAAGGAGCTGGCATCCTGCCCAAGGGTTATGGACCCAGACAGCTCCATACTCCTGTCTGAGTGCCCCCCAACCCCCCCATGCCTTACACACACAACCAGAGCCCCCCAGAGCCTAAGAGTCTCCTCTCTGCTACCAGACCATGAGCCACGAGGGTCTCCTGTCCCACCAGGTAAACTCTGGTGCAGGGCCAATGGGCTGGAGCTTAAGGAAGAAAGGGAGGGAGGAAGGTCCCAATTTCAGTAATAAGTCAAAGAAAAAGGCCTGACCCAGACAGTAAGCTCCTGGGATCCCCTGCCCCCATCTTGATGTGTGATCTTGGGAGGTCCCTTCCATGATCTGGCCTCAGTTTCCCCATCAGTGCACGGAGGAGGAGGATGTGACGTTCCAGGGGCCTGTCCAGCACTGACACTCAGTCGTGTGGCTCCACATGGCGAGAGCCGGAACCGCAGAGACAGCAGGATGCAGGGTCCTACTCAGTGCCGACAGAGCCACATCCCAGGTCAGGGTCTGGGCTCAGCCTGGGCTAGAGAAAAGAGGGCAGGGAAGTAGCCATTCAGGCACCCCCAGAACACTGGACACCCAAGGCCTCACCCTGGATGCTGAGAGAGCTGGCTGGGTCGGGCCTGGATCAGCTCCTGGGAGCAGAGAAGGAGACAGCTTCACCTCTTACTGCCTTGAGCCAAAGAAACACTCAAAGGTCTTGTCCAGGGAGGCTGCATGGGATAGACAGGAGGTGGGGAGTGGGCAACTCAGAACAAAAGAGGGTTCCAGCAGCCTGTGGGCGGGTCCTGTGGCTGAAGGCTGGGATGTGCTCGGAGAAACGCTCTGGAGGAGGTGAGATGGGGGTAGAGCAGAGACGTGAGGTCAGGTAGGGAGTGCTGGGAGGCGGAAGACAGAGAGAGACGGGAGAGTCTGGGGTCTTGGGATAGTGGAGAGAAGGAAAGATGGAGATGAGGAGGCGGGGAGGAGATGAGACACAGGCAGAGAAGAGGAGGTGGGCCGGCCAATAAGAGAGGAGTGAGAGAGGAGGCCAATGTGGGAAGCGCAGACAGAGCGACAGAGCCTTGAGATCACGGGAGGGGAGGACAGAATGCTGAGGGAGCCGTGGTCAGCAAGGAGGGGAGCAGGACGTGTGCACAGCTGCTCAGAGGGAAAGCAGGTGAGCAGGGCCCCGAGGGATGGAGATAGAGCTGACCCGCACCACCGGCAGACGCCTCCCGCAGCAAGCCATCATCATCATCTGGGAACCTAGGGCCCTGGTAAACTGCAAAAATATTTTAAATAAAAGTGTTCTAAGCATCAAAACATTGAAGCCGTTGTTGTCACACTGTGGGTTAGTTGCTGTGGAGAAACTCAGGCCGGCGGTCACTCCAATCAAACGCCAATGGGAGACAGGAAATGAGCCCCAAATGGGCTGGTTTAGGGTTGGCGTCAGGAAGGGGGGTCTCCGCCCAGAGCCAGGAATTGGGGGGGGGCTGGAGCTGGGACAACATTCCACTGCCCAGCGTGCTTCCCTGAAAATCTGGAGGCACAGATCTGATAGGAAAACTGAGGCCCAGAGAAGGTGAAAGACTCTCCCAAGATCACAGAACAAGTCACTGGTATGCTGAGACCATGTCCCAAGTGTCCTGTTCCAGGTCCAGATGTCTTCCCAGCACACAGTCTGTTTCTCTTTCAAGATCCCATTTGGCCAGGCATTTCAAAGCTGGCCCCATCTCAGGAATAAGGCAACCCCCCAAAACACGATGACTTCCCAGAGTGGGGCTAAGCTTCTCAAGTGGCGACCCTTCTATGCTGGGGAGGGGTCCATTGGTGCCTCTCGTCCCACACAGCCCGGGCGAGCATGGCCGTGAGGGTCCTCTCTCCTGAATTCCAGGCAGACTCCACCTCCCACTGGTCCCCACACCTGCCCTGCGTGTTCTCACTTCTGAGCCTTTGCTCAGGCTGATCTCTCTGCCTGAAATGCCCACCCATCTGGGGGCCTCTCCTCCACTACTTACAATGCATCTTGTTCTTCCACCCCCACTTAAATAGCGTCTCTTGCTATGTCCCGCGTGCTGGACAGCACCCAGCACAGGACGCAGAGCTCGTGTCCTGACCCCCTTCATCTCTTACCTGAATGTCTGCAATAGCCTTTCTAACTGGTTCCCACCTCCACGCCAGCTGCCCTCCCATCCATGGGCTGGTCTTACAAGTCACGGACTGGGTCACAGGCAGCGCCATCTCTCCTCCCTGCTTGCTGACTACCTCCCTGCCCCACAGGCCTCCTTCAGTTCTTGGAATGCTCTCATCTTTCCGGCTTCAGCACCACCACACCTGCTGTCTCCTCTGTCTGGAAGGCTCTTTCTCCCACTCTTCACCTAGGCAATTCCTACCCTCAGTGCTGCAGAGAGGAGGTAACCACCCTAACTAAACTAGGAGCCCCCGTGATCACCCTTTCTATTAACACCTGGTACTTTGCACTCAGTGGCATTATTCCCCATTTGTGATTCTATTTTCCTTTGTAATTGTTTAGTCTTTGCCTCTCCCACAGCCTATAAGCTTGATGAGGGCAGTGACCATGCTGTTGGTTCACTGCAGTATCCTGAGCACCTACCACAGCTCCTGAAATACATCAAGGACTCAGCAAATATCTCAAGGAGTGAAGGAACGAATGCTGAGCCCGGCCCTCAGGAAACTCACCAATTGGGTAAGTATGGAGCATGGAACTGGAGTGTCTGAGTGGGGTGGGATACTAACTCCCAACAGGGATTTCCTTCTTGGGGCTTCTACGAAGGTGATCCAGCCAGTGATGGGAGATTGGCATTCACTCACCTCTGGCATCAAAGAATTCATCATCCGAGCTCTCCACGGAGTCGCTGAGGACATTTTGAAGGTGCCAAGGGGCACCGCCGCCCGGGGGAGGGCCACCTGCCAAAGGGAACACACCCATTAGACAAGCCTGAGACCACCTCCGGGCATGCGGGAGGTAAACCCAGACCGCCCCTGGACCAAGGGTCAGTCAGTGTCCTGCCCTCTCCCTTCAAGCCTCAGCACCTCACAGAGCCCTCCTGCTACTATGTTTTCACGTAAGCCCCAAAGGCCTCTGTGAGATAGCTCAGCGGGGCAGGAACGAGTGTGCCCATTTCACGTGCACTAAAACCGAGACCGGAGGAAGTTAAGAGACGTTGCCAAGGTAACAAGGCACATCAGTAAGCATAGAGTATGTTTTGCTGTGTTAACAAATGATCTCAGCAGCTTAAAACAACCATGGTTCGTTTCTCACTCACACACAGGGTGGCAGGGGGCCCCGCTCATGGTGGTCACTCAAAGGCGCCACTTTATGAGGCCACCACCTCAAAGTGAGAATTCAAGGTCGGCAGAAGTAGGAGAGAAGAGCTCAGAAAGTCACGCCCAGTTGGAAATGCTTCTTCCCACAAGGGACACATTTCTGTGCGCAATTCATTGGCCAAAGCAAGTCACGTGGTGACGCCCACTTCAAGAGGGGAGAGGAGGGGAGAAGCAGACATCCTGATGAGCACCGGTAATGCCCATTACACACAACACACACAGGCCCAGCCAGGAGTGCAGCCTCCAGAGAGAAGAAAGACCCCAACTAAGGAAGGGGGAGCTTGAGACCTGCCCCGTCTCTGCCACTGGCAGCCTGTGTGGCCATTCCCTTTCCATACCACAGCCTCAGTTTCCCCACTTATAAAATATCAAGATCAATCCTGAGCTCGAAGGATCAGAAATAACGCATGCTCAGCACCTGTATCTCAGGAGGCTCAGTTACAGCATCGTTAGAACAGCTATTATTATTAACATCTACAGAGGCCAGGACGTGGGGTTCTCGGAGCAGGCAGGAGCAAGGACACACAGAGAATGTGGCCTCGTGCCCTGAACACTGCCCCAACCCACCTCCTGCCCCAGGACCAGGGGGAGGGAGGCCAGAGACAGAGCTGGGGCCAGAAGCCTCTCTCCCCACCCCCAGCCCTCTGAACTCCCTCTACTAGGCTCTTCGGGACGCATGTGGAACCAGCTGGTGCCCAGCACACCCATGAACTCCTCCACATGCTCCCTGGACACGTGAAACACTGGGGATTGCAGATGGATTAAAATATAATTGTAAAAATTAAAACTATACAATTGCTAGAAGAAAACTGACCTGGTAATTTTCCTGAGGAAATAATCAGAGAAGTACACGAAGATGGAAGTGTGCACTTGATCATGCCAGTGTTCTGCTAACAGCAAAACACTGGCAGAAATCCCAGCGTCCATCCATAGGGGACTGAAGGTGCGTTCATAATACAGCCATAAAGGGAATTCTTTGCAACTGGTAGAAAAATGGACTACCTCCTTATGTGTTGACGTGGTGAGATGCCCATGGAGTACGGTTAGGAGAAAAAATGCAGGGAGGTCCCAGAATGGTTTCTTTTGACCCCATTCTTGAAAAACACACTTATATCTGCATCCTGAGGATACGTGCAGCATTTTAGTTAAGAGCTCAGACTCCGAGTTCACCTCTTAGAAGCTGTGTGATATCAGGCAAGTCCTTTCACTTCTCTGTGCCTCAGTTTCCCCAGCTATTAAGTGAGGATAGCTCATAACTGCCTCATGAGCTTGTTGTAAAGATTAAATAAAATGCATCAAAGTACTTAGCACAGGGCCTAGCACAGAGCAAGTGTATAAATATACTTACAGACTCATTAAAATGTCTGGAAGGACACGCACCAAAATGTCAATAGAGATTATCTCTAGAGAGTAGAATTTGATAGAAGAGGCAGGGAAAACCCAGTTTTTACACTGCACATGTAATTTCATATGATTATTAATTTTATAAATTCATCTTATTTTATTAGTTTTAAGATGTACACTTTTTTCACACTTTAACATCTTTAAAATTGGGGTGCATCTTACATGATGGCATGTCACAATTTCATTGGCATTGTTTATTCTTTCTTGGAGTATCTAAAATAATGGTGCATCTTACAATTGATTCCATCTTAGATTCAATGGAAAACAGTAAAACCACCATACACACAGGGTACATCTTCCCTGGGGCTTCAGCCCTGGCCACCAGGCACACATGTCCTGTCTCCAGAGAGATCTGGGTTCCTGTATCAGCGATGCCCTGTCTGTATAATGAGAAACCTGACAGAGACTGTTTGTTGAAACTGTTCAACTCTGACTGATGTTTGAGGAGCCCGTCTGGTACATAGTAGAAGTCAATAAACAAGTCAGAGTAGGGGCGGCCGGCCCGGTGGTGTAGTGGTTAAGTTCGTGCACTCTGCTTTGGCAGCCCAAGGTTCGCGGGTTCAGATCCCGGGCGCGGACCTACACACCACTCATCAAGCCATGCTGAGACAGCGTCCCACAGACAAAACAGAGGAAGACTGGTACAGATATTAGCTCAGGGACAATCTTCCTCAAGCAAAAAGAGGAAGATTGACAACAGATGTTAGCTCAGGGAGACACTTCCTCAAGCAAAAAGAGGAAAATTGGCAACAGATGTTAGCTCAGGGCCAATCTTCCTCACCAAAAAAAAAAAAAAGTGGGGGTGGGCACTCACCCCAGCCATGGCTAGAGTGCACATTACGATGCACTCCTTGGAGAACCTGCTGCAGCCCCAGCTCACCACGCCCTGTCACCCTGCAGGATGCTGGCACTGTTCCCTGCCCTGAGCTCAGATCCGAGAACATAAACTGTTCCTGAAGGGAGAGGCCAGCCCCGGTTAGCCCAGGGACACAGCCCTCCTGCCCGCCCCTCCTGCCTCACCCACCACAAACTCCCAAACACACACAGCTTGAGCTCCATGGCTTAGAGCCAGGCGAGAAGCTCATTCTGAGACACAGAAAAGGCAGAAGCCACAGGGAACACTCACCTGGAGTCACCTCTAAGGGCAACGCTGAATCTGCCCCACACTCCCCATGGGGACCATCTAAGCTTTTGATTCTCACCCACCAGTGTGGACAGCATGACAGGCTGGTCAGCAATTTCCTACTCATGGGCCCTGGATTTACTGCTAGCACCCTGGAAGTTCTAGCTAGCACAATAAGACAAGAAAAAAAAATAAGAGGCATACTTACTGGAAAGGAAAAAATAAAACTGCCTTTATTCTCAGATGGCCTGATTGTCTATATAGAAAATAAAACCTCTACAAAATCTACAAAAAAAAAATCTACTGGAACTAATAATTGAGTACAGCAAGATCACAGGATACAGCATCAATATACAAAAGTCTATTACACCCCTATATATTGGCAATGAAGAAATGGAATCTGAAATTTAAAAAATAATACCATTTGCAATAGCACCAAAAATATAAAAATAAAATAAAAAGAAGTGCTTAGGCATCAATCAAATGTATGTGGAGATTTCTGTGATTCAAAATTTTTTGAATACAAAAAATACAAAATCTTTCATAATTTTATATTTTCTCAATCCACAGGCACTAAAGGTATAAAAAGTATCATCCATACTATGTTACTACACAAATACCCCTTGCTGTCCAAATCTACTCCCTTCCTAAGAAGCAAGAATTTGGATGGTTGGGGCAGTCATATGACCCTCATCTATTTGGTGCCTGGGTTTTGGACGGCAAGCAGCAAGTGTCAGTAGTGAAGGGATCATCTGAAGATTTATCTGAGTCTACCTGGTTCCTGAGTTTGAAGAGCGAGGGTTCAGGGAGAAGGTCCTGGATGTGGTGGCCCTCATCTCTATACAGGACACACTCCACCCAAGAACAGAGGCAACAACATTTCTGCCAACCTCCCCCTCACAAATAGCATGTGCTAGAGCCTGAAGGAAGGAGGAAAGTTCTAGAACCTGTCCCTCATTCACCACTCCCACTGTGTCCAACCCTTCAGGCCACCATCATCCTAGGTCACTGCTACACTGATAACATGTGTGATGGGCTGGCCCTCCTGGGAGTCCCAGAGGGGAGAAGTGGGCAGAGGGAGGGGAGGGGAGGCCAGTTCAGCTCCATCTGAGGGAGATGTTCTCCCAGCTACAGGTGGGCAGAGAGGGAGGGGACTTCGGGGTATCAAAGGGAGCTGCTCATCCCACAGGCACTAAGTTAGGTGCTGGGGACACCAAGGCAAATGAGAGAAACAGGGTGGGGCCTTCACAAAACTTGCATTCTGCAGGGGGATGGGGGAGGCAGACCGGGAAGAAGTAAACCACAAAGATAATTTCAGCAGGAGAAAGTGCTGTGAAGAAGAGAAAACCTCTCTCTTCCTACCTCCACCGTGTCTTCCTTCCTCTTACAGTGTAATTGTAGCCTAAAGAATAGACAGGCACCAACACGTGGGTCTGTACATCCACCGAGGGACAATGACGAGAGCGATAGGCCCCAATCATCAAAAGAGCTTTGTCATTTATTCAAGTCATAAACGCTGAACTAACACTGTGCCTTTCCTTTCAGATGAACCTTTCACCTGGTTGTTGACTCTCCTTTGTGGTCCAAATCTATATTTGAATTTCTTTTCAAAGGTATATTTTATCTTGTTTACTGTTATCCTCTTTGTTTTCAAAATGCGTACCTGCATTGGTTTTTAAATATATACTCTAAGTTTGTTTAAATGTGCTACAAATGCCTCCGCCCTCTCAGGCAGGGGCTGCCCAAAGCAACCTCTGGAAAGGTGGGTGTGTGGGGGGATCTCGGTTATTCATCTTTGTATAAAAAAGAACCCATAAAAACAGATAACATTCAGAAGCAGCCGTCACCTGGCTTCTAGATGGGAAATGCCCCCTTCGTCTCTTTCTCCAGCATGCAGATTTTTTAGCAAATGGCAAAGGTCATGTTTCGAAAAAGGAAAACAGTGATGGACAGAATCTCTTCAGAGTGTGAGGGAAAAACCTTTCTGAAAAGGTGTCAGGTGAGTGGAGGCTTGAATGACGAGAAAGAGCCAGACATGCGAAGCACAAGTGTGCCCGTGTGTGCATGCACGCACGCTCCCGCACACACGTGTGGCATGGACAGGCAGCGTGCATGGATGAAAGCCTTCCTGGATGAAGGAGCCACAGGGGCAAAGTAGGCAGGGGGGGGCCTGTCGTGGATGGGAGCTCGGAACAGGCCGGTTTTAAGGTTCCAACCCCCACCCAGAGTCTATCGCCGGCACACTTCAGGAAGAGGGGCACACAGACACCCAAGAGGGTCAGGGAGCCTCCTGAGGGGCAGGGCAGGGGGCACAGGTCAGGTGTGCCAAAGGCCACACATGGTCTTGAGAGTCAGAGAAGGTGGGCACCATGATCCCAGAACAGCGACGGCAAAGGCCCAGGAGCACAGTCCCCTTGAGGTGGGTCTCTGCCCTACACCC